GGAAAGCAGAACACTCCCATCACCTCCAGCACTGTGGAGACAGCCCTTTTAAATGGCAGGGAGAAAGAACATCATGAGGTGCACACAAAGTAGTGGCCTTATGGACACCACCATCTTGCATCAATCCCCCCAACACATCTGCCAAGGTACCTGTAGCACACCCCGTCTCACACCACACTAAGCTGACTTCATTGTTGATGCACCAAAGGAGGGCACACATCACCAATGTGCGACATTTTGCACTAACATGGCAAATAAAGTTCCATCACCTGCTTAAAAATGTTTGTGCACATTTCTCTTCTTCATCTGATAATTCTCCCAGGTACTCTTCGGGTGGATTTATGAGGGCCTGCAGAATCAGGTTCAGCAGGCCTCCTTTTGTTTGTAGATCAGGACTTGCATCTTGCAGATATTATAATTAGGCAAAATCAACTTTTCTGTGGAATTTTAAGGCAACCAAAGGAAAAAATGCAAACCCAATGATGAACAAAGTGAACTTGTTAAGAAAAGCCCTCACTTGAAAAAAAAAAGTTAAATGTACCTTTCAGAGAAAATACGAATCCCAATACCTATAATTGGGATTATAATACAATATAATGACAAACAATATCTTAATATATCAAAATACTAATATAATAATTTATTATTATTCTCATAATCATTAATATTATATACATATAATATGATAATAAGCATTTCCCTGCATCAATAGGCACCTAAACAATAAGGAAGTTCAAGTGAGTATTTGAGGATTCAAGTATATTCTTTCCTTGCTTAATCCCTGTAACACATTAATATTCACCAGAACTATGCCAGTCCTCTGAGCAATGCTTTGCAGTTAATTTGTTCTGCTGTGAATCAAATCCTGTTAAATAAACAGAGTGGATCCATTTCATCTCATTCACATTTCTGAAAGGAAAATATTCACAATCTGTATTCTACTGAGAGCTGAGAACAAAACATTATAAGGGCAAAACTTATTAAGGGCAAAACTAAGGGTGAAACAACACCACCACTCTTCCCCACTTTTCCAGAATTTTGCATAACTTGAGATATTTTTGTTTGACTTTTCTGGGTCATTTATTCCACACCATTTAATGTTCACAATAGCTCCCACTGAGTGTAGTTATCTCTTAAGCACCACTGGATATCCGACCTCTGAGGCCTTAATTAGGCACTGAGGGAATGATTTATGTGTGTAAAAAGAGATGCTCACATTTTTGTTACATACACCTCTGAAAGTAAGGACCTGCCTTCAGCCACAAAGCAGTTGCCACAGGCAGGTGTCTTACGCTCCACTCATGAAATGGGAAAACCTGGGACGCCTAGACCCAGCCCTGGAACAGCTCAGCCTCCCTGTCTTACTGGGATGTGCCACTGGATACTCAGCCAACTCACACAGACAGTGCACATACAACCCCCCACCCCCTTTCCTGCATTTGTGTCAACCCTTCATCAGACCCATCACCACTCCTTCCTTAAAAAAGGTGTTGGAAAACTATGTTCTTCTCACTTATGAGCTACTTGTGTAACAGAAGAAAGCAAGAGGAGCCCTTCATGGAGAAAAAAACCAGCACTGCCAGGCAATTTGAAAGCAAATGCTTTCTCAGCGAAGGCACCAGACACTGTGCACTACTCCTGTGCACAGTCACTGCACACTAGCAGTAAGGGGAAACCTCCTGCCTCTGGGGAAAGCAAGAGGCAGCTTTGCTCCTACACCTGATCAACACACAGAAGAACATGTCCACGGAGAAATATTCCGGCAGGCCAGATGAACACTGGAAGAGAAGATGACCGACAGTGACAGAATCTACCGTCACACACAAGTCCACAGCACAGGCAACAGACAGGTAACTGCCCGCAAGGAGGGCCTGGAACAGCATCCCCCCCACCACCCCCAATCCCTGGCACAGCTGCCTGGGGACATGGCAATGTGTCTAAACCCACCTCACAGGCTGATAGGGCCTGCTCTGTGCTGGCCTCCACAAACACCAGGTGACCCGGAATAGAATCACAGAATCATCTAGGTTGGAAAAGACCCTTAAAATCATCAAGTCCAACCTCTACCTGGGCTCACCTTGGTCCCCAGGCAGGACAATATATGCTTGTGAAATCAGTGCATGCCTCACTGTAGTGGGTTGGCCCTGGCTGGACACCAGGTGCCCACCAAACTGCTCCATCACTCCCCCCTCAGCTGGACAGGGGAGAGAAAATATAACAAAAAGCTCACGGGCTGAGATAAGGACAGGGAGAGATCATTCACCAATTACCATCACAGGCAAAACAGACTAAACTTGGGGAAATCAGTTTAATTTATTACCAATCAAATCAGAGCAGGATAATGAGAAATAATCCCAAATCTTGAAACCCCTTCCCCCTACCCCTCCCTCCTCCCTGGGTACAGCTTCACTCCCAGATTCTCTGCCTACCCCCCCAGCAGCACAGGGGCACGGGGAATGGGGTTTACGGTCAGTTCATCACACATCGTCTCTGCCACTCCTTCCTCCTCAGGGGCAGGACTCATCACACTCTTTCCCTGCTGCAGCGTGGGGTCCCTCCCATGGGAGACAGTCCTCCATGGACTTCTCCAGTGTGAGTCCTTCCCGTGGGCTGCAGTTCTTCCTGAACTGCTCCAGCGTGGGTCCCTTCTCCGGGCTGCAGTCCTTCAGGCACAGACTGCTCCAGCGTGGGTCGCTCATGACGTCACAAGTCCTGCCAGAAAACCTGCGCCAGCGTGGGCTCCATTCTCCTTGGGGCCACAGGTCCTGCCAGGAGCCTGCTCCAGCATGGGCTTCCCATGGGGTCACAGCCTCCTTTGGTCACCCACCTGCTCCGGCATGGGGTCCTCCACGGGCTGCAGGTGTGTATCTGCTCCACCGTGGACCTCCATGGGCTGCAGGAGGACAGCCTGCCTCACCATGGTCTGCCTCATGGGAATCTCTGCTCTGGCACCTGGAGCATCTCCTCCCCACTGACCTGGGGTCTGCAGGGCTGTTTCTCTTACATGTTCTCATTCCTCTCTCTGGCTGCAATTACTGCTGTGCAGGTGTTTTTTCCTCTTCTTAAATCTCTTATCCCAGAGGTACTAGAACCGTCGCTGATAGGCTCAGCCTTAGCCAGCAGCGGGTCTGTCTTGGAGCTGGCTGGCACTGGCTCTGCCAGACATAGGGGAAGCTTCTAGCATCTTTTCACAGAAGCCAACCCTGTAGCCCCCCCTGCTACCAAAACCTTGCCACGTAAACCCAATATACTCACCCACACCAAATACTACTGCATCCGCTCCCTCCACAACAGAGGGTGCTCACACGTCCCATGCTGGACAGGAACCCCCAGGCAGAAACCTCAACTGCGGAGGGACTGGGGATCCCACACACCCCAGGGGTACTCATGCTGTAACCTTCCCCAGGCGAGGAACGCCTGGTGTAATGAGGTATTGTGATTTGGTGGACGGGGGGGAAGTAACTTGGGCATATTAGCTGCAATCAACAGCAATGCATTTCACCCATAACCCATTCAGTGTGAATACACACAGACTGCTTTTCCGATGTGCACACCACCCACCAAAATGTCAATAAGCTCTTCAGAGGAAAAACCCTCCAAGCATTTGGGTCAGGGAGCAGTATTTTTAATTTCTTAAATCATTGGAATATGCCTTTTGTATAGCCAGACAACTCCTCTTGCTGCGAAGGTTGTCACATCACCTGCACAGAAAGGGTAATACTTTTAACTAAGATTAATGAGCACGAATTGTGGAAGAAGAACAGCTGGAAAGGCTGCAGCGCTGAGGAGGAGGAGCACAGCAATGGTCACAAAAGCGAGAAGTGATGCTTTTCAAACTGCAGGGACCTAACTGCAAGGAAGATGCATAACAAAGAAAGGAAGGTAGGAGAAAATAGAAGGCGATAAACAGCTTAAGGCAACATTAAGTAATATCACAAAACCAAGAGACTGAGCGATTTATTTCTTAAGACTGTACTTCCATGCAAGCAATCACATTTGTCATAGACAAGCAGGGTGATTAAGACACACATAGATCAACTTACTGCTCCACAGCTAAAAATCTGTGAGAACATTTTGGATAACTTACAACCAGGTGAAACTGAGTAAAAGGAAAGAGGAAGATGTGTGCGGCGCATCAGGAACCCAACAGTGAAATGGGTTGGTCTGTCCAACAGCCAAGAGAAATCCCTTCCTATGAGATGCCACTCAACATGCTGAAGGCAAAACACTGGCCTACTGAAGACCAAGGCAAAACTTCTGGACCTAACAGGGCCAGGGTTTCCCTTGATCCTCCCCTCCATTTGCTCAGCTGTATTCCTTGTCCTGCAGGAACCGGCTGCCTGGGTCCCACTCACCAGCTGGTTGGAAAAGAGCACAAAAGTGATTGTAAAGAAACTTTTCTCTGATACTTTGAGCTCCTTTCAGCTGCTTCCCTAGCACACAAAGAGCAGCTGTTAGCACCCAGTCTGAAGGGACGCCGAATTCCCCCCGCCCCCCTCCTCCTGACAGGGCCAAGCCTCCCCAGGCTCCCCTCTGTTCTTGGACCGCCCTGGGGAGCCACCGCAAGGTCTCCTGGCCCAAGACCGACGTTTCCAGAGCTGCAAATCACCCACCCAGCTTTCCGCGGAGCTGCTGCCCTCCCACCCCGCGGCGCTGGAGCCCCCCCCCGGCCCTCGGGGATCGACAGGGTGACAGGCCCCAGCGGCTGGACGGGAGACCTGCCAACTCCGGCACCCGCTGGCAC